TTTATATGTATTTTGCCACAATTTTAGAAAAGTTTTTTTTTTGCGGGGGGTGGGGCGGGACGGAGTTTCGCTCTTGTTACCCAGGCTGGAGTGCAATGGCGCGATCTCGGCTCACCGCAACCTCCGCCTCCTGGGTTCAGGCAATTCTCCTGCCTCAGCCTCCCTAGTAGCTGGGATTACAGGCATGTGCCATCATGCCCAGCTAATTTTTTGTATCTTTAGTGGAGATGGGGTTTCACCATTTTGACCAGGATGGTCTCGATCTCTTGACCTTGTGATTCATCCGCCTCGGCTTCCCAAAGTGCTGGGATTACAGGCTTGAGCCACCGCGCCCGGCAGAAAAGTTTTTTAAAAACAAACGAGCACACACATTCTTGCTGTTGTCATTCTATTGCTTACTTATTATCTTATAGGCTGGATGCCTGAACACACTGACTCTGGTAAACTATCTTAGTTCAGTTTAATTATGCTAAGTAAGGCAGAAAGAGAGCAATTGACTTGCCACCAACATGCTGGAGGGTCGCTGACAAAGCTCCACACAGAACCCAACGACTGGGAACTGGCTCCTGGCTCTGTCCAAACCCCGCCGAGACCCCACCGAGGCATTGCCATTTCCCAGTGAATTTGTCACCTTAAGCCTGAGAAAGTAAATAGACACTGGGAAGGGGGCTGAACAGGTTGCATTGCTGATCACAGACCAGCCCCAGAGAGAAGACACCTGTGATGTGACTTGGCCATTGTATCTCCTCCACTGACTGCTGAGCTCCTGCACTTCCATGCTCATTAAAAGTTATAATTCTGGAGATGAAACAGGGATAAACTCATCTGGCTGTAATTCGGGACTGAGAAGAAAGCCTTACCTTCACCCTACCCCGGCAAGCCTCCTTTCGCCTTCTTTCTCCACCCAAGAAATACAACAAACTATTCTGTCAGGGATTTCTTTCCTCCCCATGACCATTCTCTAATGAAGTGCAGGTGCGTGTGCAGCCCATGGAGAATATGAGAGGATGGGGCACCAGGAGGGGTGAAGAATTTCCTGAGAAATTCAAGCCCTTAAATCACTTCTCTTCCATTAGCCAAAGAAAGTTTTTGGTTATTTCAGGAGGTTGGCAAAGTTTTTCTGTAAAGGTCCAGATATTAAATATTTTAGACTTTGTAGTTCCATTTCAAGTATTCAATTTTGCTCTTATGGGGCAAAAAGGGCCTAAATAATATGTAAAAAATGAATGTTTGTGTTTCAATGAAACTTTATGGATACTAAAATTTGAATTTCACTATAATTTTCATATGTCTCAAAATCTTATTTTTAATTTTTTCTAGATCATTGAAAATTGTGAAAACCATTCTTAGCTTGCAGGTCATACAAAAAAACAGGTGGTAGGCCAGATTTGGACTATGGGCTATTGTTTGTTCACCTCTGGTTTAAATATTTATGATCTACCTAGTTTTAAAAACCTAATATAGCTCACATGTTCTTGAGAGGAAGGCAATAATATTTATGGATAATTTGTTCAACACAATTTAGCACAGCACGATGTTGAAGAACATAGCTTCTGGGAGCAGAATGGTTGGGTTTAAATTCCAGCCCTGCCACTCACAAGCTGTGTGACCTTAAGTAAATTACTTAAACTCTCTGAACCTGTGTCTCCTCATCTGCAAACAAGCTGACTCCAATAAAACCTACCCAACAGCGTTGTATGGATTAAATGAAATAGCATGCGTTGAGTGCTCAGACTGTTGCTTGGTAACTGTCAGATGCTATGTGCTATATGACAGCATTATCACATTTAATCCTGCCAAATGGATATTATCGCCATGTGATAAATACAAATAATAAATTTCAAGTCATTTAGGCAGCTTGCTTGTTGGGGCTCAGAAAACATTACCCCAAAGCCCTTTGAGCTGAAGAAGATTGAGAGGGCCTAGGAAGCAAGGTCACTCTGACTTTCCCCCACATTTCTGTGTGAGAGCCAAACATAAAGGAATTCTCTGTCTTACCTTTCCTGCAAGTAGATCAGAAGCCCCTCATGTGAGCGATGACCTGCCCTATACCTGGAGGAAAGAAATGCTACACAGAGAGGCCAAGAAGAGTCTGAACAAATACGTCTTGCTGAGCAACACGCTCCTGCCCCACACAGGGCCCTATTACCATTAGGCCCTGCCCCTTCATATAGTCCAATCACATTTCTTTGCACTTCTTTCATCAGACTTACCATAAAAATACACTGTTTTCCCTGAGTCTTTGGGTTTTTTACTTCTAAAGCCTCCTGAGTCACATAAAACTTTAAAAATAAATTTGTTATGCTTTTATCTTGTTCATCTGTCTTTTATTATAGCAGTGTCCACCATGTCCCTGGCAATAAGTGAAAAGAAGTTACTTTTTTCTCCCCTCTGTGCACAAGCTTCCAACAGAAGGATAGCTGTAACACAGGCTGTCTGCTGTGGTCCAGGCTCTTTCCTCCATTCAAACCAGGCTGCCTCACTGTTCTCGCTGAGACTATTTCCGTAGCTTTGCATGTTGTTAATCACATGTTTACTCACAAATCTCCTCTCTCTCTTGGTTCCATGATTCTTCTTCTATTAGATCTCCTCTTCTGTTGCCTTCAAGGGTTCCACTTCCTCTATCTCTAAAACTTCCCATTACTGAGGTCCAGAATGTCCATTTTTTTGCCTTCTGCAATATTCCTCTATGTGTCCTCCAGCTTTGATGAGAAACAACCACCTTTTGCAAATGTGTCCCACAACTCCACTTCTCCAGATGCGGTACAATTAGATGCTTCCAAAGGGCAACGTGCTAGATGGGCTGCGACATTGAGCAGACTTTGCTTCATATCTCAGCACTGCCTCTCATTTACTGGGGGATATTGGGAGAATTACATAACCTCTCTGAGTCTTGGTTAAGACATCAGTAAAATTGTGATAATAATAAGAACCTCCAACTAAGGCTGTTATAAAGATAAAATGAAATGATGGACATTATGCAAATAGGAGTGTTATCATTCATTCTTTTGTTTACTTATTTGTTCAACAAGCATCTATGGTGCCCTTCGTATGTCCCTCTAAGTCCATACTCAATAGGTGTTATTGATAAAGCCCTGAGTCTTTTCACCTCAACACATCTAAATATACACTTCTCTATTTTTGCCTTTTGCTCATCTTCCAGTCTCCTGGGTTCAAGCCATAATTCTTGGTAATGCTACCTTCGCTCAGCTCCTATATTTCAACCATCAAGTCTTGTTGGACTTGCTCATTTTTTCCCTCTTTTTTCCCACTGTTACCATCCTAGGACTAAGCCCAGATCAGCTTAAACCTAGATCCTTTCTTCATGCCAATCCTCAAGTTTTGACTTTATTTCAATTGGAAATTAGCATCCAGGAAAGTGTTTGAATAGGTAAAGCAAAGGATCAAAGTGGTGCTTTTGGAAGTTTAATTTGTGCTCCACATGAGTTGAAGTGGGAAGTAGCCAGCGGCAAGGAGACAGGTAAAAAGTTTTAACAATTTAAATATAAATTGATAAAGACTTAAAGTGAGGTGATGCTATTAGGCATGGAACAGAGAAAGAGGAGGCTGTGTGGGAGTGATTTAAGTCTGGGGTTTGAAGATAACTTCACAATTTAGAGTCTTGGTAACTAGGAGACTAATGATACCTTTTTCACAACTTCTGCAGCACTTTGTCCTGCTCACATGCATCTTTTCACCTGCCATCTGGTGTAGGTTATTTCCTTTACATGAATCATTGTCTTTCTCTACAAATTGGTTATGAACTCCATAAAGTATGATCTATGTGTGTCTTAGTCAATTTTCTGTTGCTTGTAACAGAATACTTAAAACTGGGCAATTTATAAATAAAAGAAATTTATTTCTTACAGCTCTGGAGGCTAAGTCCAAGGTCAGGGGACCACATCTAGTGAGGACCTTCTTCCTGGGGGTGACCCTGAAGAGTTCTGAGGTGGCGCTGGACATTACATGGCAATGGGGCTGATGTGCTAGCTCAGGTCTCTCTTCCTCTTTTGTAAAGCCACCAATCTCATTCTCATGATAACTCATTCATCCATTAATCCACTGTTACAAGTAGAATTTTTATGCTGCATAAGAAGTAGCACTCGAATATAAATTTCCTCAGCAAGGCAATTTACTTCTGTAGAAGGATGCAGCTCACAGATGGAACATGGTGAGTACACACCTGGACAAGGAGGGGAAGAGGTACTTAGGCCTCACGGAAGTCACCCCTACTGCTGTGTCGTTCCCTTATTGGCTAGGGTTAGACTGCACAGTCTAGTATAATTCCAACTGGCTACTTTAAGGAGAGCAGAGGTATGAGCCCAAGTGGCGTGGTGGGTAATTTGGCGGGAAGGACAGTTTCAGGCAGGTCAGAGCAGGTAAGCAGGGGTCAAAGCAGGTGACCAGAGCAGGTGACTGGAGCAGGTGGCTGGGATAAGTCAGGATGGGGCAGGGGACTGAGGGAACAGATGTGAACTACTGATTAGAACTGGTGGAAAAGGTTGTTTACTGAAACTACAAGGAAATTAAACTTTAAAATAGAGAATTAAAGAATAAGACAGCTGAACATACTGACATACTGATTCTTTAAGAGAAACTTGGGATTCACTATATCTAACACCAATAACCCATTAATTCATAAATAGATTAATTCATTCACAAGGGTAGAACCCTTACAACCCAATCACCTCTTAAATGCTCCACCTTTCAATACTACTACATTGGAGAATAAATTTCAACATGACTTTTAGAGGAGACATATGTTCAAACCATAACAATGTCCCATCATACTTTTCTTTTTATTTCAAAATTTGCTTACACTGAGTCTAGGCAGTGCAGTAAGTGTTGCTAATTGGTTCATTCTTGTTGCAAGTACTCAGAAGATGTTGTAGGAATGGAAAGTGGGGTAGCAAATTTTTTCATTTTTTCCCTAGAGAATCAGAGTTACGTATTATTAGATTATTGCTAAACTAAGTCTCTTCTATAAAGAAACATAAACATTCAGATTGTGCACAAAATTTATTTTCATTAGTGAAACACAACCCCCATGAAAGCTCCCACACAATCTCAGTAGGCTGGTGGTACAGTGCCTAAGAAAGAAGAATCAGGAGTGACATTCAAGACCCAGCATCCCCAGAAAACCCTCTATCTTGATGGAAAGGGCTACTTCTTTTCTGTCTCCTCATCCTCACATGTACATTCCATCTGCCTAATGCTTTTCTCTCTTAACTGAAACACAAACAGACACAACACACACACACACACAAAGCATTTCTTGCCCCATTTCTTAGAAAGCAAGGTCAACTTATGCCACATTTAAGCAGTGTAGAAGGTGCAGGCAAATGTTCTTGTGATTTCTTGAAGCACAGCTTTTAAACAGTGTGGGGCAGATATGAAGTCCTGCAGACAGCAGCTGCAGGCAGAGTGGGCTGGTATGCAGCAAGGGAATGCATGGGAGGACTTTCCGAGCAATCTTTGAGCAGATGGTGAGTCTAGGCATCCGGGTGCAAGTCACTCCAGTCACATCTGAAAACCAAACAGGATTCTTTAAAACTGTAAGTTTGGACAGTGTTATTCATTCTATGGTGATATCAGAGAAGGGGCTTCACATCTCTCTTTCTGAGTAGACGAAAATAAAAAATAAAAAACCCCAGAGCAATAGCAGGAGTCAAGAAGTCCAAGGCTAAGAAAAGGAGTAGCATTGGCTGGAGGCTGGGGTCCTAGAAAAGAAAAGGCAAAAGACTACAAAAATAAAAATAGTGCTCATTAAGCTGAGGATTATGTCAGGGATAGTGCTGGGAAAAATCATAGAACAAATAACAGAGTGGTTAGGGAAATGATTTTAGACTTGCTAGCATCTCTCTTGTTCTTGGATTGGCCATCTATTCAATACACAGAAAAAAAAAGACTTCCTGGAATGATATAACAGAAAGACCAGTAGCTCTCTTAAGAGATGGGCTTAGGTTTAAACCCCACATTCTGTGAGTGATCTCGGCAAGTCACTTCACTTTATTGGGACCCTTTCATGCCCTCATCTGTGAAAGGCATAGGATGATATCTACTCCTAGGGTGTTATGAGGATTAAATGAGATCATGTATGAGAATCTCAGTTCAGCCCAGCATGGTTTGGCAAACAGAGGACATTCAATAAATATGTGCTCTTTCTCTCTCCTCTCTTACCCCTTTCTCATAGGAGTTAGGACTCGCATAAATCTACAAAGGCAGAACTCTTTCATACACTGCCTTTAGGCAGAGAGTTTGGTCAAGAACTGTGAAGGGCCTGAAACTTTACACTACTTTTAAGCTCACAAGATAGCCTGACAGATTCATGGATGATGGCAGAAGACACAAGATTCCTGGGTCAGAAACAATGGACTTTACTCACAGCATGACAAGCAATATAAGTATTTGCATTTCATTTAGACTCTCCAAGCCCCAATACCCACAGAATAATGTGAAAATAACCAGGTGATACCTGAACACACTGTGTGGTGGCTTGTGAGAGAGAAGCTCTGAGTATAGAAACCCCAAATCTTGTATAATGAACCCTAAGTGCACCTGCCCTATGCTCCAGCCCAGCTCCATTTTTCCATGTATGTTTCCACTATGGAAACATCCCTAAAAAGAGAGCCCAGCACAAGGACTGTCAGCACCTGCCAGATGTAAAAATGTAAGATACATGGAAACTTGTCTCCCAAAAGGCATAGCAGAAATAATCCCTTTCCTTCCTGTCCTCTTACTGGGTTCATTAGCAGTGGCAGGTTTTCTACACATAACTTTTCCCGGTGAACATGGAGTCTCGCACATCCCACACTCACCGTGTTTCCCTCTTTATCCCTTCTCCCCATAATGTAAGTGCTCAAGCAACTCATCAGAACTTTCTATCCCTACTTTGAGCTTTTTAGAGAAGTGCCAGAGCCCACAGATGGGGAGGCTGCTGGCCTAACCAAAGGACAGGGCTTCTCTCTGGGAGTCTAGTTTAATAAAGTTTTATGAAAAGCATAAGACGGGAATAAGGGAGAAGGTCAAGGAAGAGAATGAGACATCTCTCCTTAACTCTCTGCACTTGGGGAATATTTGATCCCAGCTTGGAGGTGAAAACTGAGCCAAACCGGTGTCACTGAAATGAAGCAGGAAGTGTTTCGAGTCTCAGATATCTCCCTTCAGGTGCATGGGCCCAGAGCCAGCTGGATGTTTGGAGAGAGCAAGAGGCCACCCACATGGAGCTATTTGAGTGACATCAAAACATCTTCCTGCACCTGATATTTCCATTATGGTCTCTTCTCCAGCAAAGGCATGATCTAAAAAGGACACTGTTCCAATATAAATATGCCATCTGGGAGAAACAATTTCCACTCTTTATAAATGCTTCCAGGGATGGCCCACTCATTTAATGCCCTTATTTTGAATACCAGCTATGTGCTAGACCTTGTGTTAGCCACTGGGCTTCAAGGAGGGATCAACCATACGTCTTGCCCTCAGGAGATGCTAGTAAGAATCAGGAAGTATACCGGGAATTAGGATGCAAGTGACAAACTTCATGATAAGTGAATTGAGAGAAAGACATAGGAACATAGAGGAGGGGCATTTAATCTTATTTTGGAAGATCAAGAGATGTTTTTCAGTGGAAGTCAAATGTAAGCTGAGACCCTGTATGTTGAGTCTTTCTTAGCTGTATCTTAGAGGTGAAGAAATGGAAGTTTTAAAAGTCTAAATGTCTTACCCAATGTTACGTGGCCTGTGAATGACAAAGCCAATACTTAAACATATTATATATTAATACTGGTTTTATCATGGATTTTCCCATATGTATTAACATGTTGGTTTATCTAGGCAGCTAGAGCCTTAGGAGACAAGACCTATAAGAGAGGAGTCCTTGTGGTGACGGGAGGTGCGGGAGTGGGGAGGGGTTTGGGGTGAAGATGATTGTGTGGGGTAGGGGTGGAGAATGATGCTACTTGGGAAAGTCTGCCTGGGGTGGGGTGCTGGTGTAGTGGGGGATTTTGAAGGAGCAATAGATGAGGCCTGAAAACAGCGGAGAGTGTGAAGTTTCTTAGGGAGAAAAAAGGAAGAAGGTGAGTGGGGAGAAGAGGAGGAGAAGGGAAGAAAAACGAAGAAGATTAGGAGGAAGGAGAGGTAGAGGAAAAGGAGAAGGGGAAAAGGAGAAAAAAAGGATAATGATTTAAGAACAAGATCACAACTTTTGCAGGAACATGGATGGAGCTGGAGGCTATTATTCCCTAGAAAACTAACACAGGAACAGAAAACCAAATACTGCATGTTCTCACTTATAACTGAGAGCTAAATTCTTGATGAAGACTCATGAACACAAAGAAGAGAACAGTAGACACTGGGGCCTGCTTGAGTGGGGAAGGTGGGAGGAGGGAGAGGGGTAGAACAAACTGACAATTGGGTACAATGCTTATTACCTGTGTTATGAAATAACCTGTAAACAAACTCCCATGACACGAGTTTACCACTACAACAAACCTGCATGTGTACCCTGAACTTAATACAAATTTAAATTAAAAGGATAATTATTTAAGAAGTCGTGATGGAAAATTTTTGATGTGAGTGGGAAAATCTAATTTTCTGTTTTATAATTATATCCAGTGCTGCATAAGTTAGTCACAGCCACTAATCCAGGAAGCAGGAGGTCAACACCTTCTCTATAAAGAGGGAGAATTCAATCAGAGCCACAACACAAAGCCCACTGCTAATTGGGTTCTTCATGGGAGCCTCAAAAGTAGTTCTTTCAGTCTTTTTCAAACGCTACTACCCTACCCCGTCTTGTCAATGTTTGCTGTGTTCTAGAGGTAATTGAAGGAACAGGTGATGAGAACCAGCTTTTCCACTATACTTTGACCCTACAGGTGCCTGAAGTTTCCTAGGAATGACCTTAGCATTTGGAATGAGCATAGTATCCTGTAGAGTGCAAGGTCAATGCATTTCTGAAACAACCAAAAAAAGTAAAAAGTGTTTTGAGTCAAACCGGGGCTTATATCATATGCTATGGTTCAAAGCTTTCCTCCTAGTCTTAAAGCCAAACTCATTTGGGTTTCGAATATCATTATTTAGCAGTCCATTGGCCTGGGCCTCCTTCTCTTGACCAAACTTTCATCCAACCTAGGCAGCATTTGGTTTCAATTTGATAGAAAATGTGGGTGAGCTGCTTGCCAAATTCTTATGAATCTGTGTCAAACACAGTGATGTAGGCTAAGATTTGGGGTGTGGCTGAGTTCCCAGAGGAATTCTGTGGTTGCATAATCCACAGAAAGTGAAGCAAAGGGTATTTTCAAAACTCCAAGGAAGTGGACTCTGTAGAACCTCAGTCTATGGGGACTAGGATTTTGGAGACTTCACGACAGAATTTAAGTATTTTCACTGTACGTAATGGTCATTTAGGGTTGTTTAACCATCTGTTCATTTTTATCCCCCATCACTCCATCATATAGGTTATTATCCATTTGAACCAAAGGAAGCCAGTACATAGGAATGATACATTACTTAACTCAAGGTCAAGAGGTAAGAAAATGGCTGGACTAGGCGATAGGCCTGGCTCAATAAATTCTGTTGTACAGAGGCTACCAAAATCTTGATCTCTGACCCCTTCAAAGACTGCAATTGTTTTTCTTTCATTACAAGACAGGTTACTACAGCAACAACATAGAAGCCACAATAAATATAGGGTGACAAGACTGTTCCCTGGGAAATTGACTCTGAGGTGGATATTTGCATGCAGCGAGTTATCAGGAGTGCTCTCAGGAATGATACTCGTGAGAGAGTGAAGGAAGCAGGACTGGGCAAAGTGAGAAGCTGGACAGTGGGGCATCCACAAGAGAGGGCTACCCAGATCCCCTGGGGCACTCTGGAGCTCTGATAGCTGTTCATAGTTGTCTAACACTGTGGCAAAGGGTCTGGACAGACATTAGTTAAGAGCTACCTCTGGAGAGTAGACATGACCTTGCACTAGGAAGTTCTCTTTGGCAGAGAGCAGGTTTCATGGAAGGCTCAGCTGTGTGGGGTTAGCAGCCAATATTCCTGACAGCTGGAATGCCTTGTTCCTCAAAGAAGTGGTGCCCCAAAGAATGCACTATGGAAGAGAAATAGAATTGCATGTTGGGAACCCAGAGTACCATGGCCAATTTCATAGAGGTCATGTCCCTAGTGATGTGAAATTGCTCATAGGAGCAAGACTGGGGCCTAGAGATATCTAAGGATCCAGAGGCTAAGGAGACAGAGACTCAGCAAATGGTAAGGGTGCGCAGGGGTAAACCACTATGACTTCTGCAGTTTTACACAGGGGTAAAATCAGGTTTGATAGCGTAAAAGATAATGGGGTAAGAGGAGATGTCAAAGAAGAAATCAAGGACAGAAAATAAAGTCTGCAAGGGAAAAGGAATGTGATTTAGCTAAGACGAGTGTGGAAACTTCCAGAACTAATTGAAGACACATAATCCTTGAGTTATATTTTGTAAACATCCTGGAATCCCTACTTTCTTCCCAGAAGCTACTCTAAGGCTTCCCAGAAGCTTGGCCTTGGTGCTAACGTCATACCCCAAAGCTGACCTAGCTAGCAGCTGATCACTGGGGTAGGAGTTAGGACCCCTGAGTTTTTAGGGATCCAGTTGAGCAATAGGGTGGCCTTGGTCTAATAAGTTTGTTTTGGTTACCTATTCTTTTCCCCTCCTTCCAGCACTAAAATTTTTGAAAAATGTGCCCATTGTTTTATACCAGATTACTAGGTAGGAGCATTTAAATTTTCTAAAACATGTAAAAACATGAGGGATTTTAAAAACCGTTTCCTTCTGTCTTCTCTAATCTATCTCATTTCTGTCCCCAACTCTGATTTTTTATGACAAGACTATGATGCGATTTTTCTTTTTTGTTTGTACTGTTTTCATTTTTGCTAACACTTTTTTCTCCTTCCGCAGATTCTCTTTTCAGATCAACTCAAGGTTCTCTGAACATGTCTGGTGTGCTCTTAACTTTATCTGCTAGAGGTATTCCCACCATTTGGAATTCCACCCATCCACATCAGAGCTCTCAACAAAATGGTATCTAGTTGTTAAGGCCCATCTCAATAGCAGTGTGGACTTGGTTCCTTACTCACATCATACGCAGCACATTGAAATCACCCACTGACTTGCATTCATTCATTCATTAGCCTTTCTGAAATCTTTTGGTTTTTGTTCCCATCCTGATGTGATTTGACTCTGCCCTGCCATTTCTTATATCTACCTGTCACATTCTGCCTTACTTTATAGTCCTGAGGTTTCTCATTCGGTTCTGTTCATCTGGTTTCTATTTTAAACTGAAAACTCCTGAGGGCAGAGATTATATCTCTAAATATTATAAGATTTTTTTATTGTAACACAATATCATGATATAGATATACATATACACACACATATACACACATATATATTATACATATATACATATGAGCAGCTTAGTAGAGCTCATAAATATTTGTTTAATTAAATTTACTTTCTAAGACCAATGAGGGGAAACTAGGAAAATATTCAAATAATGAAAAGCTTGATACCCCTTAACTTCTTTTTTTTAAAAAAATATGGTACGCTTAAGGAATTTGCGTGTCATCCTTGCACAGGATCCATGCTAATCTTCTCTTACCATTCCAATTTTAGTATATGTGCTGCCGAAGCAATCACAACTTCTGACTCTAAACTTAGTTATCCAAACTGAGTGAGATAGTCTTGAGCTCAAAGTTAGCTTCTCACAGTGACTAGCTTTGTGAACTTAAATTAATAGTGAACCTGTATGAACCTTTGTTTTCTCATCTGTAAAATACGGATGATAATTGTCACTACCATGGTAGATGTAACAGTACTACATATCTGGCATTATATGAATCTATACATGTTCAGCTGAAGAAGGTTGTAGGATGGAGCTGGAGCATTGAGACCCCTTGGCCCCAGCAACCGATCCTGACTCCTTCACATAGTGCCAGTGTCGGTGCCACTGGGCTGTGAGAAGTCCAGAACCCTGCGGTCATTTGTTTTTGATACCAAAGTTCTGCTTTGATACCAGTTTTAACTCTTCTGAAGAGGATAACTTTTTTTTTAAATGTGGACCCCAAAAATGGCCACGCAAATTTATAAAACTGAATTACATTCTGGTCAGCCCTTAATTATTCATAGGAGCATTTTCCACTTTTAGATTATCAGCGAAATTCTTTCCCCTTAAATTTCGGGCTGTCTTCTCCCTGCCACCCAGCATGCGGCTGGGCCACATCCCCAGTGTGGGCTTAGGGAATACAAACTCATTTTAACTTTTTTCTGAGCAGAACATCACTTGGAAGGAAAATCTCAACCCCCCAAAAGCCATACAAAGCATTCCAAAATAAAATATAAAAAAAGTTTTGAGTGTTTTTCTGTTTTGGATTATCTGTGCCGCTATTCATTTCCCTTTTTTCTGGATAATCAAGAACTGGATGTATTATGGTTAACAAGACTAAAAATTGCTGAGAAAACTCTGCAGGGCATTAAAGCATTTTAAAGGTAAAATTCATAATCCTCAACATTTACACTTGATAGCCCATGCTACGTTGGAGGAGGGAAGTAGAGTAGGCACATAGCTGCAATAGTTGAAGAGTTCTATTTTTTTTTCCAGGGAATTTTAGCTTCAGCTGTTTCAAATCATATCTGGCCAATAATGATTAAAATCAGATAAGGCTCCAAAGATAGAGAGAAAAGGAAAATGAAACTCTATCTTTCACTGCAAAGATTTCTTTTTTTACATCAACTTAAATTTTTAAGAAAAGAAGGATTGTTTTCCTTTTTAGCCAAGGAATTTCTTCATTGCATTTAGCCAGATATAGGTTCCACACCCTTTTCTAACTCCAGCCATCTGAATGTCCTGATAAGCACATGGCAAAACATAGGCTAAGTGAAATATTCTTATTGCCTCATAATCTCTAGAGTCTATGTCATCAAGGCACTCATCCAAATATTGCAAGTGGGTTATCTTGAACTTCAGTTCTGAGGGACCCAGGGCCACCTCCTCAAATGGAGGGTGTCTGGGATCCAGAGGGAGCTTATAATAAAGGTGAAGATTTGAGCTGGAAGTCAGAGCACTTGAGCCCTTTTGTTGGTTGTGTACTCCCAGGTCAGCTCTGACCAGACCCTGAAAGAGTTAGAAAATCACACCCATTACTTTTTTCTTCATAGGATTCAATTTCATGTGAACAATACAATTTCATTTGTCTAATTTTAAAATGTAGGGGGTACAAGTGACTGGGATACAGGATCCAAAGCTGAATGCAGCGTAGTTCCTCCCCTTGAAGAGTTCACAGTCTAATATAAGAGACAGATTATTATTGTTATTGCACAGAGAGGTTTGCCCACTCTCTCAACACAGTTGTGCTTCACTGATTGTTAAGAGTGCAGCGGAAACACACAGTAGGCGTTCTGAATGGCATTCTAGGGCAGCCCAGAAAGGCTGCATGAAAAGTTGATATTTAAACTGGGCCATGAAGAATAAATAGGATTTAGGATTTTGACAGGAAACAGAGTGAGACTTTCAAGCCATCAGCTGATTTTTCTAAGAAGCAGCTCTGGCCAAGGGACCCTAAGAGGTAATACTGGACACACTCAGTAAAGTACTGATAAAAGGATCTTCAAAAGGTGATAGGAAGAGGTTAGCGATCAACAAGTGACAAGGCTTACAGCTACAGGTCTTCACCACCACCCTGTTGTGCCTCTACCTCAGAGTCTCATCTCTCCTTCCATGTGAATTCCTTTCTCTAGAGGAAATTGACAGTCCTCAGGAGAAGTCCTGATTCCCTCAACCCCCAACAACCTTTGCTTCTTCTGAGATTACTATTATAATTTTACATAACAAAAATGATAACAGTGCAAGTTACTTTGCCTTACCTAACAATGATAAGAATAATAATAGCTATCATTATTTAGCATTTATTATATGTTAGGCATTTGTGCTTAGCATTTTACATGTAAAATCACATCCAGTCTTTGCAAGCGCTTTGAGTTACGAACTTTTATTAATACACTGTACATCACAGCTGAGGAAACTTAGACTTGGAAACTTTAAGTAATGCGCTCGTGGTCACTCAGCTAGTAGAACTGAAACTCAGGTTTCTCTAATAATTTCAAAGCCCAAGTTTTTAATCTCTACACCAACTGGTCTCTCCAGGAATTTCATTCTACCACAATAATAATATCATAGTTTTATATAGTGCTCTACAAATGCATACACATTTTATTACTTTCTATTTGTTCATTTAACTACAATGGCCTTGTGTTATTTTAATGTTTCATTTAAAATAATTAATTTCTTTTTAATTGACAAAATTTGTGTTTTTTGTTGTTCCCTCCTTGAGAATGGAGATATTTAGTAAATATGAATTAAAAAGAAGAAAGGAAAAGGAAGAAAGGTTGGAAAAGAGGAGGAAGGAAGAAAGGAGAGGATAAAGGAAGAGAAGGAAAGGGAAGAAAGAGAAAAGAAAGAAAATGTAGAGGAGAAGAAGAAACATCTTGCTTTCCCCATTACAAAGTTAATGGCTGATACCCTTATAACTAAAGACAGATTAACAACGGAAAAGCATAACAAATGTATTTAATCTATGTTTTATGTGACACAGGAGTCTTCAAAAATGAAGACCCAAAAATGAAGGGGAAATTGTATTTTTATGCTTAGGTTTGATGATGAATGTAGAGGCACGATTGGACAAAAAGGGGGTGTGACTTAAAGCTAAACGGGGAACAGTTAGCAAGGGCTGATTCTTTAGATTCTTCTTAGCCTCTCTGTGGAACATTCCTTCTTTCTGGATGTAGGGCAGGACACCTGTCACATGAGGGTCTTCAGAGAGGTCAGAAAGACCTTTCTGCTTCTGCAGTTTTCTCTGTTTCCTTCAGCTTAAAATACTCGGCATGCCAAGGTGCCATATTTGGGTGTAGAGTTTCCTGCACTCCATCAAAAAAGAAGGAAGGAAGGAAGAGAGAAAGGAAAGAAAGGAGAAGAGAATGAAAGAAAGAGGAAAGAAAGGAAGAAAGGAGGGAAAGATGGGAAGAAAGAGGAGGGAGGCAAGAGAGAGAGGAAGGACAATTTTCTGATTAATAAATTGAAGATCAGAGAGCTGAAACAACTGGACTGGTGTTGTGACAAGTCAATTACAATACCAGGATCAGAATCCAGCCTATGGATTCCTGACGTGACCAACTTTTCATTGGGTTGTTGACTTTGGTGATAAAGGTCCAGTATACACACACACACACACACACACACACACACACACATATATTTTAAATATAAACAGGTAAAGACAGATTTTTTAAAGTTCGGTTTTTATCTTTGGTTATCAGAAACAGTATCATAATGAGGCAAAAGAGTTAGCTTTAGGACAAAAAGAAATACTCTGCAGGGAAAATGGTGTCTGACCTTACAAATTAAAGTCACATGACTTAGGGCCTATTATTACACAGCCACAGTCACATACCAAGCATTATACAAACAGATGGAGGGGGTGAAAGACGGCTTAATGAGAAATGTATGAGAGGAATGTGAGACGTGCACGAAGCAGGAGCATTAAATACCTAGGATAACAGCTATGGCAAAGCTACTGTGAGTTGGGATAAAATAGGATAGGCTAACAAAGGAGTCAAGAATGAGGAATTCATTCTGCACGCCAAGGGAGAAACTTCGTGGTTGACCCTTAGTCTGGGACCTTCTCAAAGAATATTCCTCATCCTGCCTCAATACTTATCCCCTAGAATTCTTTGTGAAATTCTTTTATAAACAAGTTTATAATGATCAAAAGGATATTGTGACATCAATTTAAAGGAAAAAAATCACCCGTGGACGATGGGAAGGTGAAGTAGAAGTTGCATTAACAGTAAGTCGGAAAAAAGTAAGGACAGGTGGGCAGAAAAGGATTTACTCTATGGGGAAGAATTAATCAATTGGCTGAGCAGACGTGAATATGCCTGAATCATCCACTCTCATCAAGCTTCAATCAAATAGCAAATCTAATCCTGTCACCTCCACACAGTGTCCACAGCCTAACGCAAGATTTCTTGGATGTGAAACCACTCTAACTCTTCTTTACTGAGGTCTTCGCCCTGAAAATTCACTTAACTCTGAAATATTAGTAAGGTAAATATTACCAATGGAAAAATTCCCCGAACTCGTTCGATTCTCTGTACACTCTTCTCATGTAGGTCCACTTCACTGTTGTCTGCTTTAGATTATAAAATTGCTGAGTAGAACAATAATGTAATATACTCTCTATGAACACGTCCCAGCTACGAAGCATAAACCTTTAGACTGTTCGAAATAAGGATGAAGAGGGAGATGACAATGGCAATAACCAGGAGAGTGGACAATGAGATTTCATAAGCCATGAGAAGAATGGCTGGAATTTTGCTACCTTGTGTATTAATAACTTAAGGCAGATTGGTATAGAGAATAAAGCCTGGCCTTTTGAGTATGAAATAGATATGGTTTCTCATCTTATTTCTCTTTATCCTGTGACCACAACATAGGGTTTGTTCCGTGGATTTACAAGGTTAAGATTCATTTCCAATAGATAGAATCTGTATTCATGCCTCAACATTTAAACTATTGATAAACTTCACCTTGGAAAGTCTCAGACATATTCTCCATGCTAGCAAAAAAAAAAAAAAAAAAAAAA